CGGCTCGATGCAGTTAATTAAGTGTGTCCAACGGCTCGATGCAGTTAATTAAGTGTGTCCAGCGGCTCGTTCTTAAAGTATTTTCCATCACTCGAATCAATCTATTAAAACGTAAATTTACGTGAATAAATATACATAATAAGGTCATGTAGGGCTCGTTCTCAAGCACGTGAGAGTGGGTGATTTTATGACTCACGTGTATTTTCTTCCATTTCTAATTCTCATTAACAGTCACCAAATGACGTGGTTTGTAAAAAAAAAACTGATCATCAAAACAGTTTTATCTTTTGATCTGGTCAGAAACTTTTTTATATTTTTTCTTTTTTCTATCCACTCAAATTAAATAGTTCATATTAATATCGTTAACTATCTATTATGATTCAATGAATATCACCCATGTAAAAAAAACTTTGAGCTCGTGAGCAACATGCTGCTTATCTATTTAGAAACTACACACAGACACACACACACACATATATATTCCGCTAATATCAATGTATAAATTTTTTCAAATCCTAAACCATGCTACACTGCTACACGTGGGATACTGTGACAAAATAGTAATGTTACATCTACTATAATGTAACGAAAACCGTGTAAAAGTTACATGAACGTAACATTTATAAAACTAAGAACAGAAATACTTTTTAACAAAATAAAGAGCTCCATATACTTAATTGGATTAATTATTGACACAACGTTTCATTTCCACTCACGTGAATTCAGTCTGTTACTTTCCTGTCAATAACCAGTAAAGTAAAAACATTTCTCAAAATATATTTAAAAAAATCAAATGCTAAGCAACAAACACTTCAGTCTTCGATTTTTTTATAAAGAGATTTAAATTTTATGAAGAACACACAGAAAAAGAAATGATGGTCTGACATCAGAAAACTTACAAAAAAAAAAACAAACAGGTCATTTTACCTGAACGTAAAGCAGGAGTTTTGGAGTCGGCTTGTTGATTTATACCACCACTAGAGGGCGCGCCAAGTGAAGAAACGGGGGACTTGAAGACAGAGGAGAAACCCAAGAGAGAGAGAGTCTCTGGTCGACAGGAAACGGAAGTAATTATAGGCAAGCAGAAAGCTACACAGTACGTTAAGATGAAGCAGAAATACGGCATAATATAATACACAGGAAACGGAAGTAATTATAGGCAAGCAGAAAGTTACACAGTACGTTAAGATGAAGTAGAAATACGGCATAATATAATACACAGGAAACGGAAGTAATTATAGGCAAGCAGAAAGCTACACAGTACGTTAAGATGAAGTAGAAATACGGCATAATATAATACACAGGAAACGGAAGTAATTATAGGCAAGCAGAAAGCTACACAGTACGTTAAGATGAAGTAGAAATACGGCATAATATAATACACAGGAAACGGAAGTAATTATAGGCAAGCAGAAAGCTACACAGTACGTTAAGATGAAGTAGAAATACGGCATAATATAATACAGTAAAAGACAGCACGTGAGAAGAACACACAGTCCAAGAGTAGTACGAAAATCAGAAAGAGGTCAATTTTTTTGTCGGATTAATCAAGTTACAAAATTTTGCTGATAAGTTGTTGTTTTAGAAGCTCGTGCATTACTATGTATCTCAACTTGTAGAAAAATGAAAAATCGAATTCAACATTGATGTTCTTTTTATTGATGGATGGATACCAAAATATTGATCTTTAAACTCAATATTTCCATAATAATAATAACAACCAATTGTTGTAAGAAAATTATAATATTAAAAATTACTGAAGTGATGAAAGTTTTAAATTTACACTAATCATTGAGAAATCAAGAACTATAAACAAGCTATCCCACTAATTAACACAATACATATTATTTAATATATATCCAACTGCATTATAATGTAACTCATCAAATCATGAAGGGATTCTGAGTTTACCCACATAAACATATACAGATACTTTTAAAAGTAAAATATCAAAATGATAAATACCACAAGAAAAAATAATTCATCATTTTTCCAAGTCTATAAATGTAGAAACATTTCAGACTGAAAGCAACAGATCAGATCTGAGAGGACTGCAAATAACAAGTACTTACGAACACAGACTGAGAGCAACAGATCAGATCTGAGAGGACTACAAATAACAAGAACTTACGAACATAGACTGAGAGCAACAGATCAAATCTGAGAGGACTACAAATAACAAGAACTTACGAACCCAGACTGAGAGCAACAGATCAGATATGAAAGGACTACAAATAACAAGAACTTACGAACATAGACTGAGAGCAACAGATTAGATCTGAGAGGACTACAAATAACAAGAACTAACGAACACAGACTGAGAGCAACAGATCAGATCTGAGAGGAATACAAATAACAAGAACTAATGAACACAGACTGAGAGCAACAGATCAGATCTGAGAGGACAACAAATAACAAGAACTTAAGAACAGAGACTGTGAGCAACAGATCAAATCTGAGAGGACTACAAATAACAAGAACTTACGAACACAGACTGAGAGCAACAGATCAGATATGAAAGGACTACAAATAACAAGAACTTACGAACACACACTGAAAGCAACAGATCATATCTGAGAGGACAACAAATAACAAGAACTTACGAACATAGACTGAGAGCAACAGATCAGATCTGAGAGGACTACAAATAACAAGAACTTGCGTGTTTTATACACTTCTACCTATCAAATTTCACAAACACTAAATTTAAACTTAAATAATATACTTCTTCCAAAAACTGTCTTTCATCATTTTCTTTCTCTTGGTATCGTGTAAAATTACACTTAGAAACAAGTTCTGTAACACATGTGTATTAGTAAATGTTACACCAGTCAAACTTTCCCATAAGTAGATGTAACATATTTCATTATTATCAATTTAACTCAGCTGGTGGAAACTAATGTATAATAAGGGTGCAATACTTACTGGGTTTCTTTCCTAACATTAGCTTGATGTGGTTCACACTGTGTGTGTTGATCTAGAAAACTAAGTAAAAACCAAACTGTAAATCTTCGTACACTAACACTGTGTGTATCACTTTCAAGAACACCAAAACCACAGCTTGATCTGAACTTTCCAGAACATCAGCCATGCACTGCTAGAGTCCATTCTGACAAAATACAACTCTATAAAACCACAGCTTGATCTGAACTTTCCAGAACATCAGACATGTACTGCTAGAGTCCATTCTGACAAAATACAACTCTATAAAACCACAGCTTGATCTGAACTTTCCAGAACATCAGCCATGCACTGCTAGAGTCCATTCTGACAAAATACAACTCTATAAAACCACAGCTTGATCTGAACTTTCCAGATCATCAGCCATGTACTGCTTGAGTTCAACAGTGATGTGTGTGGCTACAGTACATCACCAGTGTTTGTTCAACAGTGATGTGTGGGCTACAGTTCATCACCAATATTTGTTCAACAGTGATGTGTGTGGCTACAGTACATCACTGGTGTTTGTTCAACAGTGATGTGTGTGGCTACAGTACATCACCGGTGTTTGTTCAACAGTGATGTGTGTGGCTACAGTACATCACCAGTGTTTGTTCAACAGTGATGTGTGTGGCTACAGTACATCACCAGTGTTTGTTCAACAGTGATGTGTGGGCTACAGTTCATCACCAATGTTTGTTCAACAGTGATGTGCGTGGCTACAGTTCATCACCAATGTTTGTTCAACAGTGATGTGTGTGGCTACAGTTCATCACCAGTGTTTGTTCAACAGTGGTGACGTGTGGCTACAGTTCATCACCAATGTTTGTTCAACAGTGGTGACGTGTGGCTACAGTTCATCACCAGTGTTTGTTCAACAGTGGTGACGTGTGGCTACAGTTCATCACCAGTGTTTGTTCAACAGTGATGTGTGTAGTAAGTATAGTGTGAAAATTAAACTACCTGGTATGGTTAGCTAACACTGAAAGTTTACTGACACTAACGACAGATTCCATTATTTTCCAATCAGTTTGGCCATTATATAGTTGACAGCTGAATGTATGAAGCAGCAGGCTCTCTATCAGATTTTAATTGTACAATAAAATGTATCATAAACCTGTATGCCAATTAAAGCAGAATTAGGTGAAAGTGGTTCAAATATATTCATATTGTCCTAACTGGGAAGATAAATTTTTTTTGTCGATAAGATGCATAATTGTTCATTTAAACCTAAAATACATTGTATTTCTTCTAACCAATCAAACATAACTACTAGTCACAATCTCAGTTTTTGACTGTCGATCATAAAACCACCTCTTTCACCTCAAACAAATAAAAAACAAGGAACCAGTAACACCGGAAACTTGATACTTTCCACTTCTAAAAACATCATTTTGGTTCATTTTTTTCAATATCGAACAAACGACAAATTTGCATTTCTATTCTTGTGGTATAAACCAATTTACCGTCATAGTGGAGAACACGTGTGGTAACGTAAAGCACTGTAATTACTTGATGATGAAATATTATCAGCTCATTAGTAAAGTTACCAATTCTAAACTTAGAAAACTAACTAAAACCAACACCATAAATGGAGTAAAGTAAATGATGTTTACTGCACAAATAATTAATTTCAAAGTTGTGGTGAAGTTTACAATCAGAAACCAATTACAAACTAATTAAGGAAAAAAAATTATAATTACAACGATACGGCTATAATTAAACTTAAAAGGTCCATCTACGAGTGGGTGTGACATTTCGTTGAAACAAACTTTGTATGTTACCTTATACCCACCAGATGAAGTACAAAACACGATGCTTCTTACGAAGATAAATGTCAGATATATAAGGTTAGATGGTGTGTTGTAATATTAACAAAATTATCTTCATCCACTTCATGCTATAACGGTTCAAGCAATTTACAACTGTATATAGTGTCTAGACTACTACTGAACGAAGAGCCTCATCACCACTAGCTATAGCAGGTATAGTGTGGTTGACATATTATTATACATTCATTTTTACTTTTATTCACTTCTTATTAATAATTAGAAATCATATTTTAATATATTTCTATGCATCTTCATCAAAATATTGTTGCAGGGTTTACATGAACAGTTTAACATAGATAAGTAGTTCTAAACTGCTACAACTGTCTGTCCGTCTAAGCTTGTTGTTAAATAATTCTTCAACTAAACAAGTCATAGCAATTGATTTCAGTTAGACTGTTGAGGCTGTTTAATTGATTTCAGTTAGACTGTTGAGGCTGTTTAATTGATTTCAGTTAGACTGTTAAAGCTGTTTAATTGATTTCAGTTAGACTGTTGAAGCTGTTTAATTGATTTCAGTTAGACTGTTGAGGCTGTTTAATTGATTTCAGTTAGACTGTTAAAGCTGGTTAATTGATTTCAGTCAGACTGTTGAAGCTGTTTAATTGATTTCAGTTAGACTGTTGAAGCTGTTTAATTGATTTCAGTTAGACTGTTGAAGCTGTTTAATTGATTTCAGTTAGACTGTTGAAGCTGTTTAATTGATTTCAGTTAGACTGTTGAAGCTGTTTAATTGATTTCAGTTAGACTGTTGAAGCTGTTTAATTGATTTCAGTTAGACTGTTGAAGCTGTTTAATTGAATTCAGTTAGACTGTTGAAGCTGTTTAATTGATTTCAGCTAGACTGTTGAGGCTGTTTAATTGATTTCAGTTAGACTGTTGAAGCTGTTTAATTGTTTTCAGTTAGACTGTTGAAGCTGTTTAATTGATTTCAGTTAGACTGTTGAAGCTGTTTAATTGATTTCAGTTAGACTGTTGAAGCTGTTTAATTGATTTCAGTTAGACTGTTGAAGCTTACTAATCATGTAACAACTGTGGTTACTTCAAAACCTACCTGTAATTACAACTTGTGTACCACAAACTATACTTCTAAATCTGTGAATTTATCTAAACTACATTTAATTTACTTGGATTTATTAGGAAACGTTCGCTAGACAACAAACTTTAACAGAAAGGTGGGAGGTGCAAGTTTGCCACAGCAATGTGTGTGTGTTTTGTAGGCACAGTTATATACAAACATAAAAATGAGCTCATGTGTTACACCTTTCAAAGAGAGTTTCTGGGGAAACTAAAACAAACTTGTTTACCTTCAGGTGAACACTGGGAGTCCGACTTGTCCATAGTCAAAACCATCCAGAGTGAACCTAGAAAACAACGTCATCATCTTAATGCAAATATCATAAATTGTGTGATGACTCTTATTAAACATTTTAACATGTCTTAATTTTAAGGTTTATTTTGTAATTTTCAATTTAGAGATGAAGAACATCACAGCCTCAAACTGAATTGTTTCTATCTACTTTGCCTCTATATTTATCAGACAGTTTTAATCATTATTAATTTTCTGTCTTAATAAATAAACTCGTGATATAAATTGTGTCTTATCCTTTTTTAAATACAGTGAAACACAAAGACTTCCACTTATCTAATGTAAAGTTGAAAATGAATTACTAATTATACAAGTTTTTAAGTATCATAAAATAATAATTTATCAATTAATTATTTATAATTTTTGCTATAAGTAGCAGATATACTGTTGGTTAAACTTATAAAAATGTTATTAGATCAAATATGATTTAAAAATACGATCTTCTAAGAAAATAAAACACGAGAAATCTAGCTCCAATCATCAGAAAAGATGTTTGAGAAAATAAAAGAAGTCCACCTATGAAGAGTATCAGAAAATAGGCCTAAGAAGGCATATGCTGCTCGTTTTTTCACTATCAGAATTAAAACATATTCAGCGGAAAGTCTAAAATGTCTTGATTTTTCTTAATCTTTTCGAAATTGGAAGCTCATTTGACAATACAAGCAGGTTATAATTATGTTAAGAAATACAACTTAAACTTAATTTTAACATTTGTTGTTTACAGTCTGTTCAAAAATCAAGATTTATTCCACGTAACGTACATTTCGAGAATTTGTAACAAAAGAAAATTGTAAATAATTCCTATTTCAAGCTTAAAACTCAAGGGCGGCGGCCGTGATATGAAAATATGGAGACCTCCTAGCGGCTGACAATACAACTACAGACTATTTACATCAGGAGTTTGAAAGAAGCCTACGGCAACGATCTTAACCAGAATAAACCGTGATATAGCATCCCGGGTTACTAATCAATAAACTGACTTCTTTAATCCCTCCCTTCCCCCCGGTCCGGGAAACTCGATGTGAGAAAAGTTGAAAGGGGAAGGGGGGGGGGAGAAATTGGTTAGCGATATAGGCCCCTGCACATAATTAGCACAAGAAAGAGAGAAACATGGCGACGTGGTTTTTGAGAATGTGATTGGTTCGGGACGGTGACGCGCGGCAACAAGAGCTGGTAACACATGTAAAGATGTGTGGGGATCAATATTCATATAAGAACTGAATCAACTTCATTACGGGAGTTATATTTTCCAGCGGAGGCAGATTACCAATGCAAAATAATAAACCTTAGCAACTACTTTGCTGAAACTCGGTTTTCCGTGAGTAACAAAATACAATGCCAGATCAGATGGATATTTGAGGTTCTGAAAATAAACTGTACGCTGTGATGCAGTTGTTTTTTTCCTGTAACATCTATGTGGTTAATTTACGGTGGTTTAATGTTCTTGAATAATATGTTTGAGCAAAATAAAAATGAAACAAAACAGTTGTACAAACTGTCCTTCCATGGAACAAAACTAATTCAATCTGAACTTTAAAAAAATTACGTAACATGGGACAAAACTAATTCAATCTGAACTTTAAAAAAATTACGTAACACTGGAACAAAACTAATTCAATCTGAACTTTAAAAAAATTACGTAACACTGGAACAAAACTAATTCAATGGAACAAAACTAATTCAATCTGAACAAAACTAATTCAATCTGAACGTTAAAAAAAATACGTAACAATGGAACAAAACTAATTCCATCTGAATTTTAAAAAAAATTACGTAACAATGGAACAAAACTAATTCCATCTGAACTTTAAAAAAATATGTAACAATGGAACAAAACTAATTCCATCTGAATTTTAAAAAAATTACGTAACAATGGAACAAAACTAATTCCATCTGAACTTTAAAAAAATACGCAACATGGGACAAAACTAATTCAATCTGAACTTTAAAAAAAATACGTAACACTGGAACAAAACTAATTCAATGGAACAAAACTAATTCAATCTGAACTTTAAAAAAAATTACGTAACATGGAACAAAACTAATTCAATCTGAACTTTAAAAAAATTACGTAACACTGGAACAAAACTAATTCAATCTGAACTTTAAAAAAATTACGTAACACTGGAACAAAACTAACTCAGTCTGAACTTTAAAAAAAATTACGTAACACTGGAACAAAACTAATTCAATCTCAACTTTAAAAAAATTACGTAACATGGGACAAAACTAATTCCATCTGAACTTTAAAAAAAAATTAACATAACACGCAAATTAATCCGCATGCGCATTGTAAGAGCATCGATTTTTTTTTTCCAACACAATCGTGTATCCAAATTATCCGCCTAGGTTTCGCTGCCCCGTATTTTACATTCCTCTACTAGTGGTTCATCCGTGGCGGAACAAAAAAAAGTTCTTAAATGATGCACAAGATTTAGTAGTTAAAAATACCAAAATATGAGTATTTAAAACTGTTCTTATGTTTTTCTGTATATAATTTGCTAAATGTTAAATAATTTGTTTAAATGTGTTAAATAATTTGTTTAAATTTGTTAAATCTATATATTCGAACAATGAAGTTCCAGTTTATCTTTAACTGCTTATATTTAAACCTTCTAAGTGCTTCATGGTCACTAAACCTGATTAAAATAAACCTTCTAAGTGCTCCATCATGGTCACTAAACCTGATTAAAATAAACCTAAGTGCTTCATGGTCACCAAACCTGATTAAAATAAACCTTCTAAGTGCTCCATGGTCACTAAACCTGATTAAAATAAACCTTCTAAGTGCTCCATCATGGTCACTAAACCTGATTAAAATAAAATAGAGCACTTAGAAGGTTTATTTTAATCAGGTTTAGTGACCATGGAGCACTTAGAAGATTTAAATATAAGCAGTTAAAGCAGTTATTTTAATCAAGTTTTGTGACCATGGAGCACTTAGAAGGAGGAAGTGATGTTTTGTGTCGAATAATATTACAACTTTGAGAGGAAGTGATATTTTGTGTCGAATAATATTACAACTTTGAGAGGAAGTGATGTTTTGTGTTGAACAATATTACAACTTTTAACAGGAAGTGATGTAAATACAGCATGATTTCAGTAACCTCAGAGTGTTAGATTGTGTTTTGAAGCTAACGTAATAGAATCAGTTATGTAAATGTATTTATTAAATAAAATAATTCGGTATACTTTAGTAATAATAACCGTATATGAAGTACAACCAATGTTTATTTACATAAACAAACAGTTTTCAAACAGACTTCATGTGGTTTAGACTCAAATGTGAAGTTTTCGTAGTTAAACAGTTATTTTAATCAAGTTTAGTGACCAGGAAGTGATATTTTGTGTCGAATAATATTACAACTTTGAGAGGAAGTGATGTTTTGTGTTGAACAATATTACAACTTTGATAGGAAGTGATGTTTTGTGTCGAATAATATTACAACTTTGAGAGGAAGTGATATTTTGTGTCGAATAATATTACAACTTTGAGAGGAAGTGATATTTTGTGTCGAATAATATTACAACTTTGAGAGGAAGTGATGTTTTGTGTTGAACAATATTACAACTTTGAGATCAAAATCTTGGTTACAACTATTCAACACTTGTATATTATTTGTGTTTACTTGGTTGCCTAGCAATGTAGTATCGTTTTTGAAACTACAACATTTAACTGCGTGGTTAATTATTCAACTGTTCCAAAGTGAGGATGCCAGGTAAACCTAGCGAAACGTTTTTTTTTGTTGTTTTTTTTAAATAAATTGTTTTAAAATAAATAAATATACTTTTAATAAATACAACTCAGTATATAACTGTGATTTACTACAAAACAGGTTAAAAGAATCGAACACTGATGTTATAATTAGTAAAGTTATAATTAAAATACGACTAAGTAGAAAACCAAATAGTAGTTACGTCCCATAGAATGCTTGGAACATTCTTCGACCGAACTTCCTATAAAACTTCAAAAGTCGCGGCCGATGTATCATTACACATCCACGACTGTTACTTAAACTCGAATAGGAAAACAGAAAAGTGGTTATGGCTTACGAAAACCGTGAGTTTACAGTTTGGATGCTGTTAACAAAATGGCCAACTTAAAATCTCAGAATGCGGCCACTGTTGACCGAAAAGTTATAACACTCGATGTAAAATTTGCCAAAACTGAACACGTATAAAGCTGTTTGGCTGTCTGTTAACTACAACTGACAGTTTTTGTCACAATTCTATTCTTCCAATTAATTTAATATTTCTACTGTTTTACACCAAATTGATAACCAAAGAAATCGGATTTCCTCCAACACGCGGGATTGAACAGTTCGAAGTGAATATACAACGTAATAGTCACTTTTAAATATAGCTTTAAAGATGAGTTTATAGGTTAGAAAAAAAAGAAATTGGTGTTGTCGTGTTTTATACACGAGGATGACAATAAGACTAAAATCAAATATAAATCCTAGTTTTGATATTTCTAATCTATCTATCCCTCTGTATCTACACATGTATGTGTCGTACTAAGTTTGTCGACGTTTTACAATTATTTTTATACACTTTCACAAATTTCTTTTTATTACTCCATAAAATTATACGAAACACTCACCTGGCTAGAGGCACTGCATAGCTGTCTTTAACAGCTGTCAAGGATGTTTCTGTAAACGACAGTAACATTTATTAACATATAATTTACGTAACCTTTTACAACAAGAAATACAAAGATTTTCAATGACAACATTGTCTCTACGGCACATTTTTAGACTCCACACAATTTAATTAATAAATATAACTGGGAAATAAAAATCAGACATTTTTAAGATGTTTTTTTCTGTTCTGATAAAGCCCGTTTGTTTTTGTTTTTCGGCGGTAAGCTGCACAACGGACTATCTGCGATCCGTCAACCGCGGGGAATCGAACCACCAATTTCAGTATTGTAATCCCGTAACTCACCGCCGACCCCTCGAGGATCCTTTCTACTGAAGGAATTTCAACGTGACTGTTACATGTCGTGAAAAAATAAAGGAAACATGTTTATAAATCCAGTTTAGGTCTGAAAGTACGTTTACACACTCAACATAAAATATAAATATATATATAGTAAACTCAAGTTTTGAAAAAATAAAAGTACTGTATCTGATCGTTGTTTTTCTCTTGTTGTTATTTCGAATCACCATCTTCATTTGAAGTCACATTAAAACCTACTAGCAGTAACGCCCCCTACTGGCAGCTGTTTGTGCCAGTAATTTCTAATCATACCTCATTGAAAAAAATTTTAAGGGATTTTTCTGGGAAGTACTGCACGGGAAAAGTGTTCGGGTATAAACTGTAATGTTTATATATATATTAAAAGTGGTACCCTTTGTCGAAAAAATACGTTTTTTTAAGAACTCCACTTTTTAGTCCTATATTTACGTCGATAAATATAATTAAATCCTCACGTTCAGTCCTAGTGAAAGTCGTGTTCTTCTTGTGAGGAGAGAAGGTATATTTAAAACTGTGTTCTCTTGTATAGAAATGGTTGTTGTCCATACTGTAGTGAAAGTCGTGTTCTTGTGAGGAGAGAAGGTATATTTAAAACTGTGTTCTCTTGTATAGAAATGGTTGTTGTCCATACTGTAGTGAAAGTCGTGTTCTTGTGAGGAGAGAAGGTATATTTAAAACTGTGTTCTCTTGTATAGAAATGGTTGTTGTCCATACTGTAGTGAAAGTCGTGTTCTTGTGAGGAGAGAAGGTATATTTAAAACTGTGTTCTCTTGTATAGAAATGGTTGTTGTCCAT